GAGGTTCTTTCAGGGTTTCTTCTAGTCTCTCAGGCTCTGCAGGCTTCTCTGTTCTCTGGGACTCTCTCAACCTCTCCACTTCTTCCCTAGCCTCTCCAAAGCTGCTATGGCTGCCTTTCAGGGTTTTAGTCTGTTTCTTCCTCTCACTGAGGTGACTTTGGAGTACTTTCAGTCTTTCTGCTGTTCCCCCCCCAACACTTTTCTGAAGTTAAACTGGGTTTTTTGGGGCTGTTTCAGTCTCTTTTCAAGGTTTGTGGCATCTCAGCAACTACTCTTCCTTCTCCTGGGACTTTTTCAGCCTCCCTGCTTGTTTCTTTGCTTCCCCAAGGCTATTCTCTGTTGCTCTTTTAGCCTCTCTCCTTTTTTAGCAGCTGCAGGCGTACTCTCCTAGTGCTCTTTAAGAATCTCTGCTACTTTCTTGTTATTGTCAAAGTCTCTGGTGTGTTCACCATGGTTCTTTCAGGCTTCCTAGTAGTTTCTTTGCCTCATTGAGCCTACTCTGTGTTCTCTGAGTCTTCTACAGATTTTGGCTCATTTTCCCTTCTTTGATGATGCTCTTTGGAGCATTTTCAAGCTTTCTGCCTTTTTTTTTTCTTTTGTCTTCTCTGAGGTCACCCTTGGTACTACTGGGTATTCTGGAGCTCCTTTAGTATCTCTTATACTTTCTTGTTGTTGCTGAGCCTCTTCAGTATCCTCTTGGGGGTCCTTTGCCTTGTCTGTTTCTGTCTTGGCCTCTTTGACACAGCTACATTTTATTTCCTTGGGCACCTACAAGCTTTCTTCCCTTCCTTGAGGCTACTTTATGTTCTCTGAATCTGTTGCTTTGTTGGCTTCTGCTTGGCTCTACTGTTTTGAATGGGGATCTTTCGAACCATCTTCTACTTTCCTGGCATTTGGAGGTCTATTCTGTGATCTTTCTCTATCTCAGTGTTCAATCAATTTTCATGGTTTCTCTGACTCCTCAGTGTCCTCTGGATGTCTTTCAAGCTTTCTACTACTTTGTTTTTTCTTTGACTAGTCTATATTCTTTGGGACATTTGCAAACTCTTTCCTATATTACCAGGCTCTCAAAACCAATTTGCTGTTCTCTGGGGATCTTTCACACCTATTATTAGAGTATTGTTTTGAAGGAGGTTGAGAGAGGATGGGTGTGGGGATCTTTTCAGTGATGCAACAGCTTCAAGAGCTCTGGACTTCAACTGCAGTGGAATTGGAGTACACCTCTGCAAGTCACCCTTTGGAATTTTTTTTTGTCCCCTTTTGGTTTTGGTGGTAGTTGGGGTTAGGAGAGAAATGAGCTCAAAGAGGCACCTTTTAAAAAATCCTTTATTTTTATATCATCCTAGTAAAAATCTTTTATATAAAGGCGAAAGTAGGTATTGCATAGAAGAAACACTGGTGCAAACATCACCTGGTGGGAATGGCATGTTGTTTCTTAGTGTCTACTATCTACTGCACAACAGATGGCTATCCCATAGGCAAACATCTCCAGGTTTCCCCATACCAGCTACAGGATGAAGCTGCTCAACTCCATGGAAAGAAGTTACATCAGAATTATGTGTGCCCTAGTCAATGCTGCTCCCAAGAACCATCTACTGGGAAAACATCCTTTTTCCTCTGTGCCTTTTCTATGCTTGACTAATACATTGCCCAAGAAAGACCATGAGGATCAGTATGGCTGCTCTCTGCTTGTACCCTTCCTGCCTGTGCGTTTGTATATCATGCATACAAATGGGGGGTGGACACAGGATAGGAGAGTTGGCCTAACATGATAGTTGATCATAGTCCGTGATCATAGTCCAGGAATTCAATGTATGACATACACAAAGCATCTTCTGTCATCTTGGAAACATTTATGCCATTGTTTTTATCATCTCACATGCTACTTAGCTATGGGCACTTCTTTTGAGCGCCCTCCACCTGGGCTTCCTATAACTAACAGCCTTGGTACCACCAGGAGGGAACAGAATTCACTGCTATCACTTCAACAGCTTTCAAGTAGAAGTTCTTCAACCAGTTCTCCTATTACGTTTCTGTTTAAGTTCTGCTGCAGCTTCCACACATGAAGCACAGTGAAACAGCAGGTATGCTACAGTCTGAAGGAACACTCAGAGAAACAGCACTTTCACACCCTTAACTGTGCTTTCATGAATTAGAGATACAGAGAGGTATGCATTTTTACAAATCAATATTTGTGTATATTAAAGATACTTTTACTCAGTATCAGTTTTTATTTAAAAACATGCTAAAAACTTATAGTTAAATAATCAGAGTGACATTTGGGGAAAACACACAGCCAGCCACCCACCAGCAAAAGCAAAAAAAGTGCATATATACATGAGCCAAAGCTCCCTTTGACCAGTTTACAGGACAGTTAGTCCCTTCTCTGACAAACTGACTGATGCAGCCTCATACTTTCCAGGTCTGGTTTTTGTTGCCTGGAAAATGTCATTACTTTTCTGCTCCTTTCAGGATGTCTGTCATCACCTCCCACATCAGAGAGTCAGCTAGAGACACAAATCAGCCCTGCTTTTGTCTCCCTTCCTGTAGGTGGCTTCACAGAGATGAATTAATGAAGCTCGTGTAACTATCTCACTTAATACTGTGCTTAAAATGCCAAAAGTAGTCATTAAAAAAAGATTTCAGGATCTATGCTGCTAGATCGTGAAATGGAATGAAGCATTCTAGAAAAATAAGTTTGGATGGAAGGCAAAATAGCTAAGTTTGCAACTACACATTTCATCTTTGAGTTACTCATAAACATTTTTTATTTCCTTATTACTTTCACTAATATATTTTACCATTTTTTGTACAAAAACTGACTGCAGATCAAAATTTAAGATGTGGCAGGTACCACTGTGCGACCCAAAAGGACAGAGATGATGCTCCTGCTCAGTCCTGCACCCTGCTCTTTTTGAACACCAGAGAAAGCTAGAGAAAGCTAAGCACCTCAGCCCAAAGGGAAAATGCAGTGGAGCCATCAGATGAAAATCGTCCTGTCTTTTCTTGCAAAAATGGGAACGCATCTTAGCAACTTTGGATACAGTCTTACACGTAGCAGCAAGTACACTGGGCATCAGAGCCCCTTCTTCAACATGGAACATCCATCTCCAGTGGGGCTCAGATGCTCCTGGTCCCAATTTTTGTTAGAAATGGAAGTAAAACTGGATTTAGTTTCTGTGCTTTCTCTCTGCTTCTTTCCTGACTCTTTCAAAGGCAATCCAAGTGAAACAGCTGAACCCATATGGCATTGTCTGCTTCAGTGGGAAACAAAAGCGCCTGTGAAACTTCGGGCATTGTGCTTATATGGGCAAGGGCCACGCTCTAAGAACAGTAACCTCCTTCTTCACTGCAACACCCAAATTCATCTCTTATCTCCCACATATTCACACTCCTTCCTGTCACACTGATTTATAGGAACTCAAAAAAGTGACACATACACCACACAAATAGTGCTGGCCAGATGTACAGATGCATGCAGGACCTACTAGGAAGATAAACAGGGGACTAAAATATGAAGTGGCTCAACAGCTATTTCAGCCCACAAGGAAAAGATAGGCTGAGTGATACAATGAAAATGATATCTTTTAAGAGTTTAAAGTATAAATATTCAGACTGAACATTAAGAGAAACTTGTTTACCAGAGGAGTGGTTTGACATGGCATGTCTCTGAAAGGCACCAAATCTCTATCTATCCTCAACAGTTTCTAAAACTCAGCCCAATAAAGTCACAGTAAACCCCATCTCACATAGATGACAGTACCCCTTTGAGAGTGACATTGCGTGAGGTAATCTCTGAAGGTCACTTCTGACTGCTGCTAATATAAAAAAGCAGTGTTTCTTTCAGAGCTGAGTCAAGCTCTGACTGGAGTTAAATCAGAACATCCTCCAATGTCTGAGCCTTTCCTTCTTCCTTCACAAAACAGCAAAAACCTGGAACAAAGGGTAAATGGGGGCTGCTTGCAATGAAGCAGCATTCAAACTAGAGAAATGTATGTTCAAGTTTTCTAACAGGAATGCTAGTAAAAATATGCATGGCAGTGAACTCTGAACTACCCCATTGGATGGACTTGGCAATCCATCAGCAAGAACCAATTCTGTACTGAAGGTGACAACACATACTGTCTCTGACTGCTGTTTTGGAAATTGCCCCTTTCCTGCCTCATCTGGTCACCTTTAATCAAACCACCTTTTCCAGCTCAGGGAGACAGCTGTCATCTGCCTGAGGAAACCCCTTCAGTGAAGGGCATGGCATGACAATGTTGCAATCAAATTGCCATCCCCTTCCCTCATATCCAGCAGCATGCCATGCCTTGGGCAAACTTTTTGAAACAGACAACATAATCTGTGAAGTCTGCTGCCAACTGGCCAGTAGGTCAGTCTGCAATCTCTCTCCTTCACGCCAGGGAGCAGTAACTTGCTTAGTCAGTACTTTTACCTTTCAAAGTAGCATGACATCAAAGCAGCCAGACACTGCTTTAGCATTGGAACTCTGCCTCACAGGAGTAGGAAGCTCACCATCTGGTCCAGTGGGAAGGCATTGCATTCCATCTGAGGAAAGAGCCTCTGATTTGAAAGGAACCACCTTTGTTACAGTAAGGGCATCAAGGCCCTGATAAAGGTGCCTCCCCATGGACTTGAGAAAAGTTTTGTCTTTATTTGCCCGCACCAAATGTCAACTTTGAAAAACATGTCCTCTGGAGATCGCACAGTGGTTCCCAAATTAATGTACAATAAATGTGTAAAACCAAAAATAGTAAGAAGTTATAAGTCAGGCAACTAAATTCTAAGCTATATCCACCATAATAATCATCATCACCACCACTATCATAATAAAAAAGTATACACCGTAAGGTACAAGAAGCTGCAAAGCAAAGCAGCGCCAATTCCTAGGACTCTCAGTTAGGGTGGCTTTTCTGAGTCTTTCAGTAAATTGGACATGAGGGTTGAAAACTTAATGGAAGACTTTGACGAATTCTCCCTGGAAGTTGAACACACATAATTTTTGCACATATAGCATGGATTAGTAGAGCAAAACATTTTCTTAAGTTAAGAAACATTCTTAGAGCGGATCTATGATTTCATGTAGAAAATCCATTTGTTTGGGGGTTGATCCCCTCTTTGGCAAATAAATGGCAAATGTGAAACAGACAAGAAAATGAGTCAAATAAGTTGTGATAATAACTGGACAAGTAAGAACAAAGTAGATCGGTCAATGGGAAGGATTCCCTCAGCAGGGCTAGGCTTGATACTCTTTGCAGTCATTCCTTTTGTTCATTTTTATGATGTGACAGAGGGGTTGATGTGATAATGTTTCAGAGGCTTTAGGCATCATATTTTTTGCCAGTCCTGTGAATCTGCTGGAAGAGCGTCATGGAGAAGGCCATGCCAAGAATCTGAAGGAAAACAAACAATAAGGGCTTCAGTACAGGGAGGCTGCCAAAACTGCACTGCTGACCTGTGTTCATGGTCCAGCTGCAGTTTTAAGTCATTCTACACTGCCATATTTCTCAAGCTTCAACACTGATCAGGCACACAGTGATGCCTGGAGATGTATCTGTCAGAGCACAGATGCAGGCAAAAAGCTCTCAGGGCTCTTTGTCATGCGTGAAACAATTTTTCAGCATCAATACATATGAGTCACTCTTCCTTTTTACCCAACAACATGTTCCTGTTTAGCCAGATAACTATGACTAAAACCATCAGATTCAGGTATTCTCCCCCAAAAGTACAACAGTGATACAAGAACCCCAAAACCTTAACAGATTATGATGATACTTCTGCATTTCTTTTTTGAAACACATTAAACTACTCAGTTCAGTGGCCATAATTTCACTAATTTTGACAATTTCTATAACTTGCTTCCAAAATATAAAACAAGTTCCCTAGGGACAGCATATCAAATGGCTAAACATGGGAACTCCAAACTGGTGCTCTGAAGTCAAAACACGGGTAAGCAAAACCCCACTGCAGCATGTCTTCTTTGCAGGACTGACTACTGACCTGCTTCCTTTCTGAGTAGATGACCTTAAATGAACTCATAAAACACATCTGACATTTTTGAAATCATGATCAAACTCAAAGCGGTTGAGTACCACTTGTCACACAGCAGAATCAAGAATGCTGACAGCAAATCAAAGCCATGTTGACAAACATCATACCGGTATTACCTGCATTATGAGGATGCACAGCCCAATCGAACCAAGGACATGCTTATTCTCATCAAACCAGGTCATAATTCTCTCATAACATCCCTGAAATGATGAAAGATGAAAATTGCAATCCCAAAGTCACATTTTCTTTCACATGCATTCCCTCTATTTTCTTCCTTCCCACCCCTCCCTAAGCCTTGACCCAGGCAAAGCAAGCCTTACTGTTTTCCACACTAATTCAGTGGAGTTCCGTCCACAGTCTTGTGAGTTTTCCATACAACATCGGTCTGGGACAGTGTTTTCTCCCAGCACTGGGTACCAATCCGTAAAGTCATTCACACCACAGCATTTCATCTATGGCAAAAGTAAAGGATTAATAAATTAACTAGCACAATTTGTGAATCATGCACCACCACAAACTTTTACATCCGCTAAACCACTGTATATTTTCAAAAGGGCTGCCACAACACTTTTATATTTTTAAAGGGCTTTGTGCTCAGTAATCACTAAACCCAAATACTTAACAACATTAAAAAAAACCCAAAATAAACAGTCCCATGCCCAAGGTTATGTTAGTCTTCCTGTCGCAGAGATGTGAGCCCGAACACCAAAACATAAGGTAATCTGCCCACAAGTGCCAAATGGCAAAACCTAGCTGCCAAAGCTGAAGTTCTACCTATGCTTCTCCTCTGTTTCAGATCATCTCTGTGCTTGTGATAGGCACAGAGAATCTCAGAGAGAGGTAAGCATATTTCACCTTGCAGAGTACACTTTGATCCTGGGTTTCACAGTACTCCCTGGATGTTCAAGAGTGCAAAATCAGAAACCAAAGCCTGCATTAGCCATCCTTTAGACTCGGCATGGATGCTACAGTTAACAGACTGCAGTAGCCTTTATGGCCAAATTGTTATTTTTTTTTCTATTGAGAAAATGTTACCTCTGCTTGAATGATATTCCATGCATTTTTCAGTCCAACATTATTTTCTGAATTGTATAGCTTCATACCTTCCTTCAAATCCTTCTTTGCACTCTCACTGACCTGCATCATGTAAAAAATACAGACAGTCAATGCACTGCTGTTTAGAGGAAAGGACCAAATGGTACAGACTTGCATACAGAATGTATCTCTCTTACCTTCTCTCACCACAAACTTAACATGGGTAGAACAGCTCCCATCAGTGGGACCTTTCAGCACCCGCCAAGGCCTAGTCTCTCCCTCAGATTGCAAAATACTGGATTAATTCTCTTGAGATAGGAGACCAAACAGCTTCCCCTCTACTAAGAGTCCATCATGCAGTCATCATCTGATCCAAACTAACTGAAGAGTGATCAGCAGAAATCTGCTGAGCTTACTTTAACTTTGCCAGACAGTGTTGGCAATACCCCACAGCAGCCTCTCCTGCCTGTAACCTATGATCTACTTTAATTTGCTAATATCATAAAACCAGAGTCCCAGCCTCCCAACCTTAACATAGTTGTCCCTTGCACAGGTTCAGGCAGGCTATAATAAGTGGCCAATACAAAACCAACTGAAAAAGGGCATTATTATTGTTCTCCTCGTAGAGACAGACTTGTAGGATCTGTGATTTTCAGATGTGCTCTTCTTTCTTTAGAAGAGAAAGTTGGAATGCTTAATGGGAGATCTGAGATGTTGAATTTCTTGTATAAATTTCAGTCCAAGCCTGGAGTCCTGGATGCAGGTAGGAATGCATCTTGGCTCTGAGGAATGCATCTTGGCTCTGACAGCAGTGAGCTGGCAGCAGAGAAAGGATTAACCTATGGGTCCTGGCATAAAGTTCAACTATATTATAAGATCTGTTTCATCCCTCTTTGATATCCCATTCAAAATCAGAAGTTCACCCCAGCTCCCTGAAAGTGGCAGGCATCATAATGACAACCTGGGAAGACATAAAAATCTGGTAGGATCTCAGTTTTAAAATCCATTTGGACATGTTCATACTGTAAGGCTCTGTCCTGTGTTTAGCAGAGTTCTCCAGTTCCCCAAGGATTTTTCCAATCTTACCCATCTGACAGGCCAGGCAGTTGTGCTTACTTCATTTAGTCTCTACTAGATAGCAGATTCCTACAGATGGGCTTTATGAGAAGTTGTCTCGTGATCCGCTCCATGCCCATGTCAAACTCTCTGGGACTGTCCAGTCAAGTGAGACAGCTGGTGGCATCTGGAATAACCTGTGAATATCCCAGGCCTCTCTCCTCCAGTCCTGTTCAAGGGCCCTAAGAAGCTAACCAGGTCTTAAGTAGGACCTCCCAGGACCAAGGTCCCAGGACCACAAGATGATCAGCTTCTTGCAGAGACATCAAACAGCTATGTTGAAGGCTATCTTAGCTTTCAGGAGAAGACTAAAAAGGAGGACCTGGACCATGGTTTTATTTCAGGGAGGAAATTGTAAAGCTCAGCGGGTTATTCTCTCCTGTTTGCCCTCCTCATCACTTCCTCCTCCCGCTACAGAAGCAGCTTACAGAAAAAAGCCGAGATCTCAAGGTTAAACCTTCATCAAAGTGAAAAGCAAGGAGAACCCACATACCTCCATCAAACAAAAGCAAACTGAACCTAGTTTACATGCTAGTACAGATAATTAATCTATATGGCATATTTGCTTACCTTGTCCATATAAACAAAGAACAAAATGAGTAATATCAGCTCTGCCAGGAGAATTATCAGCAAAACGATGAAAAACTAGAACAAAGAAAAAACAGTGTATACACACTTGCCAACGAGAGAGCAAACCTGGGGCTGCTAAAAACTCTGAAGACTATAGGCCTTGTTCTCTAAACCTTTCCTTTACTGCCAAACCCATGCAAGTTTGATTTCAAACTATTCAGGCATATTGCCACTAAAGCTCCTGTAGGTCTCACCATCAATGAGGAAGCTCACTGTCTAGCATTCTCTAAATCTTAGGTTTTGACCTACTACCAGTTTGCAGGTTTCAGCAATGCTTTTGTCTTGCTTTTTTTGACTGCTGTCACAGCACACAGCCCTGATAGTCTCTTTCCTTCATACAGACTACAGAACAGATGCTAAACCCATTACCACAAAGATCAATGTGACATGCCTCAGGAGTGATTCCCTAGCAGGTGGGCTTTAACCACATCTGACTGCCTGTTGGAATAGTCATTTTATTACTCAGCACTTCTACTCCCAGCTCTCTGTAGCTGAAATCTCTCTCTGCAGGGGCATCCCGAGTATGAGTTCCAGTAGTTTCTCACTACTTTTCATGCCCACTAGTTGCCTTTATGTACTAGTGGACTGCCACCTAGGCAGGGGAATGCACATAGGCATCTCCCACACAGACACTGGGGGAGATGTAGTATGCAGTGCAGCAAGCTCTCCAATCGGAAACTCATGATAGTCATGATAGTATAAAAAGACCTTTGCAGAACCTTGTAAGAATATAAACAAACTTAAAAAACAAACCCCAAAAATTTCAAATGGTGTTGCAGTTTGTGTGGATGAATGACATAGACCTCATTGCTATTCTGTTTGCTTTCCTAGCTATACAACATACAAAACCAAGCAGCAGACAGCAAAAACCAGGTGCACATTTGTCCTCCAGTTTGATTCTCTGAGGTGGTATAAGGAATGCTGCCCAGCTGTTCCCCAACACCATTTAGGGGAGACTTTTACACAAGGAAAACTCACGTGCTCCTTAATGTCACAGCACCTGTGATTCATAAGATGTGACTGAATTGGAAGCTGTCTGCTTTGAAAGCCCTCCTCTCACCTTATGCCACAATACCTCTCTCCTTGAGGTGGGGAGAAGCATGATGAAGCCTTTATGCAAGACGAATGACCCCCACTGTGTTTTCTGAGAGGGGTTCCCAACATCTTACTTCAGTGCTGGACGAAGACTGCCAAGGATCAGATTACTTTTTCTTTTTACTGGTAAGGCCTGGCACAAACCTTAACTTCTTAACTTTGGGTCATATGGTTTCCACCAACCTCTGACAAAGGCTTTAGATAAGGGCAAAGTAGAAAATAGCCATGAGAGGCTTTGAGTGGCATCCAGAAGCAGCTGTGCTTAAGATTTTTCAGTCAATCCTTCTAACAGACATTTTCAGAAGGGCTATCCAGGTTGACCCTACAGTTCATGTTTAATGATTCAGAGGGAACTGATAGTAATCTGCTTTGCTATCTAATACATTAGGGCACACACTAACAAGAATACACAGAATATTTGCTAATACACCAATCACTGTGACCAAAGATGTGGGATGTCATAATGCAAGCATACAGAAAATTGAAAGCCAAGAGCAATGTTACAGTGATCCACAAGACTATTCTGCACTGGTCATTTACATAAAATAATAACAAAGCAACAGTCACTGGTCTTAGTGAAAAGAAGTATTGATGTCTTACACTCAGCAGGAGGCACTTGTTTTCCTTGATAGCACCTAGGCAGCCCAGAAAGCCGGTCACCATGATGACTGTGCCAATGGCAATGACTAGGTTGGCAGCTGAAAGCGACGGAAAGCTAGGAGAAAACGTGGCGAAGTTTCCTTGAGACACTGACAGCCAGATGCCCACACCCAGCAGCCCACAGCCACATAACTGCAAAGAGATAAACAAAAGAAAGGTTTCACCATTAAAATAAATGGCACTGGCTCC